AGAAAGGAAATTACTGAATATCTAGCTCTGTGCTGGGTGCTTTGCATGTGTTAACCAACCTAATCCTTACAAGGATCCGATAAAAGTCCCTATTAGTATCTCCATTTCACAGTCAAGGAATCTAAAGATCAGAGATGTTAAGAAACCTGCCCTAGGTCCCACAGCCAGCAGCATAGATAAACTATGTCAATCTGATGTCAGTGTCCACGCACTTGTTCACATTCAACTGCAGACTTCTCCAGCCTGACCTTAGGCAGTAGGGTGGTTCAGTGGTAGAATTCTCACTTCCAGGCAGGAGACTAGGGTTCCATTCTCAGCCAATGCACCTCATGCACAGCAACCACCTGTCAGCGGAGGCTTGCGTGTTGCTAGGATACTGAACAGGTATCGGTGGAGCTTCTAGACTAAGGTGGCCATCTACTTCTGAAAACCAGTCAGTGAAAACCCTACGCATCACAACAGTCAGATCTGCAACTCATCACGGGATGGCGCCCGGCCAGGCAGCATTTAGCACCACTGGGCAGAGGGTCGCCCTGAGTCTGGGGCCGACTCATGGCCGCTAACAACCACCTGACACAGAGATTCTCACCTGAGGGCAGGTGGGGTGAGAGGAGTAGGTGGAAACACACGTTTACAGTAACACTCCTACTCCTTCAGTCATACACACTGCAGGGATTCGGGCGGAAGCTCTGGCTGGTGTGGCGTGAGACAGGATTTGAGGTGGGGTGAACCTAGGAGGCAGCCCACAGCTTTAACAGCAAGTGCCATCGGTCCACGTAGCTCATGGAGACAGTGGCTGCCGTTTAGTGGTGATCACCTGCCCACAGCAGGTGCTTTTGCTGGGGGGTGATCCACAGGAGGGGCTCAGTAAATCCCTGTGGGGGAAGAGGATCACCTCTCTAAGTTGTCCTGCTATCTAAGGAGTGGCAGGGGAACGCAAGAGCTTCCAGGGGTGACCACGTTCTGTCCAATGTCACTGTTGAACGTCTCTCATCTTCTGCTCACCTCCTCCCAATGACGACCACAGTGGTACCCCTTGCCGCCTCTCTGGCCCCTGACTCTCTGTCCTCACATATTTGAGGGACTTTCCTGAAATGCAAATTTGACGGGGCAACTCCTCAAGGGCCACCTGAGCGCACAGGCAGAGGTTCAAGACCACCTCGCCCAACCTTCCAGCTGCCCGCTGATCCCAAACCCAGCATGGCGCGCTCCCTGCCTTGTGCTTCTGGCACATACAGCGCCTTCCATCTGGCTGTCTTTTCCTCTCCTGTCCACCTAGCAGATCCCTAAAGATCCTTCCAGACTTAGCTCAGGCTTTCCGCAAGTAGCAACATGATTTCAGGTGGTATCGGTCACAGATGAACTTTTTAAATTTTTACTAGTTAGGTATTTAAGGTGCCCTGGTGGCGCAATCGTTAAACATGCGACTGCTAACTGAAAGGTCAGAGGTTCAAACCCATCCAGGGTCTCCATAATCCACAATCTTCATGCAATCTGCCTGCATAAAGATGACAGCCTTGCAAACCTATAGGGCAGTTCTACTCCGTCACAAGAGGTTGATGAGTCAGAATCGACTTGATGGCACGTAACAACATCAACAGGTACTTTCTTTCATGTGCATTACAATATATGCAACAAAAATATATAAAATATACATAATAAGCTCATCAAATCAATGACTGCCCTGAGAAAAACTTTAAAACTTAAACCACAAATATCCCCTGAAGTCTTCTTAAAACCAAACAATAGTTTAGCTTAATTAGTAAAAAAATGCCTTGAGCATTACGCTCTTTCAAGAGCTATCTATATGGGATCATATTGACAGCAGCAACTCAAAAGATTAGACGGGAAGCTTGGGGGGCAGTGGGTTTATGTTAATGGGGGAAGAACAACTCAGAAAAGGAGGGTGAGAATGGCTGTACAACTCAAAGAATGTAATCAGTGTCACTGAATTATACATGTAGAAATGGTTAAATTAGTGTACGTTTTACTGTGCATACTCTCAACAAAATACAAAAAATTTCAAATGTTAAGTTTAAAAAAAGTCATTTAAGAAAACCAAGGTGAATACTAGCTGGGATGATAAGGTGAATGTGACAAGAAGCTCTGGAAGCAATGCCTGCTTGTAGCTCAGTTCCTCCCTGTCTTTACATGCGGGCCCCGTCCCCCGCCTGCCCGGCTTGCCCCACCCCATGCCTGTCTCAGGCCTCACAGTCCCCTACTCTGGCTCACCTCTGCATCTCCCACACCAACGTGTCAGCAACCTGAAGATGAGGCCTGGGTCCTGGCTACCTGGGTACATGCAGGCCTTGCGCAGGGCCTGGCCCTCTTGGGTGTTCCACACCTGCCTCCTGTTGCTGAGTGACACTTGACACCTGTCTTGCGGGGCCAAGATTCCGTCCCCCTCACATACCTTAAGTTAATTTCCCACTGCACGACAGAGCGGTCATGTCCTCCTGCCGTGAAGGCGTAGCAGCCGTCGTAGGAAAGGGTCATCCCAGCCACCCCATTCGGGTGGCAAATGATAGCAGATGTCTTATGTGGATTGCCATCGACTGGTAAGATCTGGAGTCCGACCTAGAGAGAAAGCTGTAACTGGGGACTCGGAGTCAGATGACTAGGTCCCCCACTGTGCCTGCAGCTTTCCCATATCACTCCCAGATCTGTCTGCAGGAAGGACTTCTGTGTCTGAAACCCTTCCAGTGGGTGAATGCCACATGGGACTTGGCTGGGCCTCTACACATGGAGCCCTGTAGGGTAGTCCCTTAGAGACAACACCACACTCCAGCAAGGAGGGGCCCTTCCATGCTGGTTCAGTAGCTACGCAGGGAGGAAATTTTCCTCCATGTCTTCGTGGTCAGACGTCTAGGGCTTTCCAGAATAATTCTGACATTGTATGACTTCATGCTTTTCAACACAGAAACCGAAAAAAACCAAACCCATTGCTGTCAAGGTGATTCCGACTCACAGGGACCCTACAGGGCAGAGCAGAACTGCCCCATAGGGTTTCTAAGGAGGAGCTGGTGGATTCATACTGCTGACCTTTTGGTTCGCAGCCGAGCGCTTAACCACTGCGCCACCAGGGCTCCTTTCAACGTAGACTATTCATTGAATGTATCACTAAGCACGACTGATTTGTATGTCTTTATATGCTTTTTCCAAGGAGCCCTGGTGGAGTAATGGTTAAGCACTCGGCTACTAAATGAAGGGTTGGTGGTTCAAACCCACTCAGCAGCTCTGAGGGAAAAAGGCCTGGTGATCTGCTCCCAAAAAGATTACAGCCTAGGAAACCCCATGGGACAGTTCTACTCTGTCACGTGGGGTTGCTATGAGTCGAAATCAACTTGATGGCACCAAGCAAAAACAAAATATAATGTTTACATGGAAATAAATCAGAAATAAAAAAATCTTTTGGTGGCCATGTGTCTTCATTTGGAGTGCACAAAATATAGGAATTCTGTGCAGAAAGGTCTCCCAAGAGTCATCTCCACTAATCTATGGCTATCTTCAGCTTCACTATTAACCTGGAGGGAAGTACTCGGACTTGGATATGAAGCCAAGTGTCCTTGAGTCTTATAACACTTGGGACTTGCTGTTCCTCAATAACACTTGGGGTCATCCTATAGAACCAAAAAGCAGAAGTGCTGGGTACCTTGTCTCTGTTAATAAACACCAAGTAGCGTTTCTGGAGTTCACTAGTGGTTTTCACTGGGAGGAGCTGGATCTGTTCAATGGGGGAACCGTAAGTTGGCCCAAGAAGTGTCTTTCTGCATGATAAAAAAGAAGAAAAAACTTTAATTCCACAAATCTGAACAAAGATTTTATGATTTTTTGTTTGTTGTCTCAGTCATCTAGTGCTGCTATAACAGACATACCACAAGTGGCTGGCTTTAACAAAGAGAAATTTATTCTCTCACAGCCTAGGAGGCTACAAGTCTGAATTCAGGGCACCATCTCCAGGGGAAGGATTTCTTTCTCTGTTGCCTCTAGAGGAAGGTACTTGTCATCAATATTCCCCCATCGAGGAGCTTCTCAGTAAAGGGACCCCGAGTCCACAGGACGTGCTATTCTTCTGGCTCTTGTTTCTTGGTGGTATGAGGTCCCTTTGTCTCTCTGCTCACTTTTCTCAAAGGAGATTGACTTAAAACAAAAACCTAATCTTGCAGATTGAGTCCTGTCTCATTAATATAACTTCTGCTAATCCCATCTTAATAACATCATAGAGGTAGGATTTATAACATGTAGGAAAATCACATCAGATGACAAATGGTGGACAATCACACAATATTGGGAATCACAGCCTAGCCAAGTAGACACACATTTTTGGAGGACAAAATTCAATCCATAACAGTCATGACACCCTCAAACATTTCTAATTCTGAACTTCCTGTCTTGTTGCTTTTGGCCGCTGTGCTTGGATGCCGTAAATAAGGGGCAACCGCTCCAAAGAGCAAAAGTTCCTGGGACACTTGATTGTGTGGAATGCTTTCCGCAGTCCTGGTTCTCACTCTGCCCTTGTGAAGGGAACATTCTGCCTCAAGAATGTGTATGTGAACAAGAGGCAAGGAAGAAGCTGCAGGAGGTGATATGCATTGGCAGAATGAATGAAAACACCCCGTTCCCCAATGGTGGGCCAGGAGATTAGCATGGACACCATGCAAGGTTCTGGATGGCTGCCATTACAGGTGTGTGCGTAAAAGACAGACATCTGTCTGTGCATCAAGCTGTAACTGAATCATATTCCCACAAAGGTCAGACTTATTTATTTATTTATTTTTTATTATGCTTTAAGTGAAAGTTTACAATTCAAGTCAGTTTCTCAGACAAAAATTTATACACACATTGTTATGTGACCCTAGTTGCTCTCCCTATACTGTGACAGTACACTCCTCCTTTCTAGCCAGGATTTGCCATGTACATTCAACCAGCTCCTGACCCTCTCTGCCTTCTCATCTTGCCTCTGGACAGGAGCTGCCCATTTAAGTCTCATTTATCTACTCGAGCTAAGAAGCACACCTTCACGAGTGTCATTTTATGTCCCATAGTCCAGTCTAATCTTTGTCTGAAGAGTTGGCCTCAGGAATGGTTTTAGTTTTGGGCTAACAGAGAATCCAGGGACCATGTCTTCCGGGGTCCCTCAAGTCGCAGTCCGACCATTAAGTCTGGTATTTTTACTAGAATTTGAGTTCTGCACCCTACTTTTCTTCTGCTCCATCAGGGACTCTCTGTTGTGTTCCCTGTCAGGGCAGTCATTGGTGGTAGTCGGGCACCATCTAGTTCTTCTGGTCTCAGGCTGATGGAGTTTCTGGTTTATGTGGCCCTTTCTGTCTTGTGGGCTAGTATTTTCCTTGTGTCATTGGTGTTCTTCTTTCTCCTTTGCTCCAGGTGGGTTGGGACCAATTGATGGATTTTAGATGGCTGCTCGCTAGCTTTTAAGACCCCAGACGCCACTCACCAAAGTGGGATGCGGAACATTTTCTTAATAAACTTTGTTATGCCAACTGAAGGTCAGACTTCTTTAGCTCAGATTCTATCACACTCATTAGAAATCTGATCTGGAATTAGTAATCCCAGAGCTGGATTTTCCCTGAAGCTAGTAAAACTACAGTTTCAGCAACTGCCTCCTTTGCCACAAGATGAGAAGAACTGGATGGTGCCTGGCTAGCATTACTGAACATTTTGATCAAGGATTCTATACAAGAATCCTTGATCAAAAGGGTGAAAATGCAGAACAGAATTCCAAATTCTCATGGACTCCAGATTTTCTGGAGCCACGGAGGCTGGATGAAACCCTGAAATTACTGCCCTGAGATAATCTTTGAACTTTAAAGAAAAAGTATTTCCTGAAGTCTTCTTAAAACCAATCAACAGTTTAGCTTAACTAGTAAAGAATGTCTGTCTTAAGCATTGTGTTCTTTTAAGATCTATCTATATGGGACCAAATTGACAACAGCAACTCGAAAGATTAGATAGGAACCTTAGGGGGCAGTGAGTTTATGTTAATGAGGGGGGAACAACTCAGAAAAGGGGGGTAAGAATGGTTGCACAACTTGAAGAATGTAATCAACATCACTGAACTGTATACGCAGAAACTGTTGACTTGATGTATTCCTATTGCATATATTCTCAATAACAAAAAAACTAAAATAATTTATTTAAAAAAAAAAAAAGTTCAATTTCAGGCTGCCTCCCTTGCTTGGTGCCTTCTGAGGCCCTGGCAGGGGTCCTAGGCATTTGTTATTCTTAATTACGTATCCTTTTTCTTCAAGGGGGCCCATAAAATCGAACAAGCTTCAAGCCCGACTAAACCTGATCTGCCCGTGTGAACCCAGCAGCGATTTCTCTTCTTCTACTATGAGCCCCTGGGTGTGTGGATGGGTTTTCTCTCTGCACCCACTGCACCCGGCATGTCTGGCGGGGACGGCAGGCACTGGGTGAGTGTGGAATAAACAAGGAGCAAATTCCACTCAACAAGCATTTCCTGAGCACCTCTTCTGGGCCAGGCATTGTGTCAGGTGCTCGGGAGACAGGAAGGAGTAAGATGTATTTCTGGCCACTGAGGTGTTCACAGTCCAGCAGGGACAGCGGGCCTGGGAACAACATGAGAGAAGAAGGCTAACAACGCAAGCAAACCCAAGGTGCAGAGACCGCCCTGAGGAGGAGTGGTGAACTCCCGGGTGACGGCCGGGCAGAGGCTCTGAATGTGAGTGGGAGACGCGGGGAAGAACACGGGGGTGTAGGGAAGAGCAGCGTGGAAGCAGGAGGTGCAGAGGGATGGGGCATGAAGCACGGCGTTCAAACCTCAGAAACATATGATGTAAGGGCGGTGGGGGGTGGGGCGTGGTGATGAGGTGAGCAGGGGCCAGGTCAGGAAAGTAGGCTTTATCTGCTGGGTTATGGGATGCCCTAGAAGGGTGCGAAGCTGGGATGGTCCATGGTCAGGCTTATATGCACGCAGATTGGGTGAGATGTTAAAAATACTAAAATGACAAAATAGGCAGACAATGCATCAATTAATTATAAATCACCCTTATCTAATCATTCCAGTAGAAAATATTTAAGGACCTTCCCCATATATCACTGAGTGCACAGAGATAGGGTAGAGCTTGGTTAAGAGCAGACTCTGAGCCCTCGGTGCACACTGGTTAAAGCGCTTGCCTGCTAACTGAAAGGTCTGTGGTTTGAACCCACCAGCTGCTCCACAGGAGAAAGATATGGCGGTCTGCTTCCGTAAAGATTCCAGCCTTGGAAATCCTATGGGGCAGTTCTACTTTGTCCTTTAGGGTCACTATGAGTTGGAATTGACTCAACGGCAATGGGGGTCTGACCCTTAAAACTTATGGGAGGTTGTGGAAAAATGGTAGCCCCCTGCATTGCTGGTGGATGTGAAATGGTGCAGTCACCTGGAAAAACAGTCTGGCAGTTCCTCGAATGGTTGACCCAGCAACTTCACTCCTGGGTGTAGACCAAAGAAAAATGAAAACATGCATCCACACAAAAACTTCTACACGAACATTCACAGCAGTGTTATTCATAACAGCCAAAATGTGGAAACAACTCAAATGTCTATCACCTGATGAATAAGGAACAAAATGTGGTCTATCCCTACAATGAATATTATTCAGCCATAAAAAGGAATGAAGTTCTGATTCATGCTACAGCGTAGACGAACCTTGAAAACATCATGCTGAGTGAAAGAAGCCAGACACAAAAGGCCATACAGCGTATGATTCCATTTAGATGAAATGTCCAGAAGATGCAAATCCACAGAGACAGAAAGCAGATTAGTGGTTGCCAGGGGCTGGGGGAGAGGAGGGAAGAATGGGGACTGGCTGCTAATGGGTACGAGGTTTCTTCTGAGGTGATGAGAATGTTCTGGAATTAGATAATGGTGATGGCTACACAACTCTGAACACACTAAAAACTACTGATTTTTACACTTTAAAAGGGAGAATTTTATATGTAAAGTATATCTCAGTTTTTTTAAATAATGATTTTTTTAAAACTCGACAAGTTGACAAGTTACTTAATCTCTCTGTGCCTCAGCTTCCTTATCTGTAAAATAGAGACAATGACAGCACTTACCCCTTAAGACTGTGATGAGCTTTTAAATGAGCTAATATATACAAAGCACCAAGAACAGTTTCTAGAACACTAGGGGCTATCTAACTGTTACCAGCTACATTAGTATATTACTAAATGTACCTAACAATTTTATAGAACTAGTATCTTTTTCTTCTGATTGCAAAAGTATTAAATTTTCCATTGTGTTCTTTTAAGATCTATCTATATGGGATCAAACTTACAACAGCAATTCAGAAGATCAGGTAGGAAACTTACGGGGCAGTGAGTTCATGTTAATGGGGGAGAAAAAACTCAGAAAAGGAGGGTGAGAATGGTTGCACGACTTGAAGAATGTAATCAGTGTCACTGAATTGTACACGCAGAAATTGTTGAATTGGCGTATGTTCTGCTGTGTATATTCTCAACAACAAAAATAAAATTTAAAAAGTATTAAATATTCAGTTTTCAAACATGTAGACACACATAAAGTAGAAAATCTACTTATAAGTCCACATGGCTGTGCTCCTTACCCCAAGATAATCATGGATAATGGTTTGGTATAGTTGAGAATTTCTTTTATGTGTTTTCGTAACCTATATTCTAACCTATATCATTATAGGAAGTCCTGGTGGCGCAGTGGATAAATGCTCAAGCTGCCAACCAAGAGATCAGTCGTTGGAATTCACCAGCCACTCCCTGGGAACCCTATGGGGCAGTTCTACTCTGTCCTATAGGGTCATTATGAGTTGGAATCAACTCGACTGCAATGGGTTTGGTTTTTTG